CGCGCGGCGGACTGAAATACGCGTCCGCCCAGTCCTTGCTCCCTCCCCCTGCGAGCCCCGCGCCGATAGACAATCCGATAGAGGGGCTACGTCCCAGCGGCGCGTGGATGGGGAGACTGCCCGGCTGCACGCGCTCGCGCTCCCTCGCACCCGCACCCGGTCCCTCATGCGAATCGTACCCCGCCCGGTCGTCATACGGATACGCCGCCCTTTCGTCGTTCGCGTACCTCCTCTCCCTCTCCCTCTCCCTCTCCCTTGATTCGTCCCTCCCCCCGCCCGCACCACCATACCGCGAAAGCGACTCGTCCCGCCCGCCCCTCCGTGCCGCAGGCGAGTACCCTCCTCCTCCGTAGTTGTTGTTGTTGTTATTGTTGTTGTTGTGGTTGGAAGAGGAGGAGGGAGGGGATCCAAGATGCATCCCGCCCAACCCCAACCCAATCTCGAGATCATCATCGCTCAACAGCAGCCCCCCGCCGCTCCGCGCCGCGCTCGCGAAGCCCCCGCCTCCCATCCCTCCTCCTCCTCCTCCGCCTCCGCCGCCGAATCCTCCTCCTCCGAGACCGAGACCGCCAGTCGAGCTAACCGGCGAATCCGGCACATTAAACCCCGCGAGCCTGCGGGGCTGCACGACGCTGACGCTGTGGCGGCGCGAGGTGCTGCCGCTGGGGGGCTCGTCGAGGTGCGTGTCGCGGTAGCCGGAGAAGGAGCCGGGGTGCGCGTGTGTGAAGCCTGGGGATAGAGACATGTTTTTTAGTTGGTGTGTATGAGGGGAAGAGGGGAGGAGAGGGGAGGGGAGGGGAGGGGAGGGGAGGAAGAGAAAGGGAGAAGGGGGAAAGAATTGAATTGAAATGAAAGTGGATCCGCGACGAAGTGCCTAAAGAAGACAGATAGCAGCCGAGACGCAAAGGATGAATCTCGACCCCGACGAGGCGAGCCAGATCCAGTCGCACTCAGCTGCATATAACCTTCGCGCGGAAGAAAATGGTAATATGCGTAGAAAAATGTGAAGGGGCCAAAAAATTATAAAAGGCCCAAGGAAGAGAATGAATGTAAGGCGAGCCAGGGAAGACGGTGGACCCGACTCCACCCCCGCCTCCCGGAAAAAAACAAAGCAAAGAATCAATGAGTGCACGGCGACCACGAAAGAAAGACACGAGAAGCAGGAAGCCGATAGCAATCGCTATACAGTACTCCGTCTTCGCAGTCTCGACTAGACGAGGCCCTTCCACATCGCGCGGGCAAAGGCAGGAATAGAAGCAAAGTAAAATGGGCAAGTGGACGCGGGACCGACATCCCTCCAGTGACAAAAATAAAACCGGAGAGCACGCAAACGGCAGAAAAGAAGAAAACAAGAGCCGCGACTCGTCCCCGTAATCTGCGCAGCGTGGAAGCATTTGGCACAAATCCGCGGGCGGGCGAGAACAGGCCCGTCGCCCAGCGCGCCGCAAAGGAGCGCATAGAGAGAGAAAAAAAAGAAAAAGACATGCAAGAAGGACATCAGCCCGAAAAATAAAGAGTGCCCTCCCCGGCGACAGGGAACAAGCTCGACTGGACGATGCCCAGCCGCATCCGTCCGTCGTCTCGTGCGCGCCCAAACGCAGTAGCAGAAGGAAGAACAGAAAAGCAAGATGGACGGACGCCCGAGATACGCCCGAAGCTGTGCGCCCGAAGCGTGCCCGGGAGAAAAGAAAGAAAAATAGCGGAGACACAGGAAGAAAAGAGGAAAGCAAGAGGGCCCATCACCCCCAAAAGCCGTAGCGAAAAAGTGGTGGAAAATAGCAATAGATGCCGGGAAAATAAGAAGGAGAAAAGATAGATAAGAAACGGAAAACGGTGAGCGTGAGCCCAGCCTCCTCGCGGAAAAAAGGACAGAAGAAAATGCGCCTCCGCCAAGAGACCAACAAAACGAAACGAAAAGAGAGAGGAGCGCGTGTCCTGTGCGGGAGCGAAGGACCAAGTAGGATGCAACGCCCCCGAGATGGTGTAACGCGAATTTAAAAAAATCCACGTCGCGCCTCCCCTCGTGCAAAATGGGCCGCCAGGAAAGCCCCCGAAAAGGATGAACGCAAAAAAAAAAAAGAAAGAAAAAAAACCCAAATGGGAAGAGCAAGAAAAATTGACAGGTCAAGATGAGATCACATACCATATTCTCTTTCCCTGGCCCCATCCCTCCCTCCAAACCCGCCCCCACCCCCACCCCCTCCGCCACCGCCAATCCCCATCCCCCGCTCACGCTCCCACAACTCCCTAAAACTCCCATCATCCAAAAGAATACTCCCCACATCCCTCACGAACGGCGACATATTCGTCCCGTCCTCCCCCGCGCCCCCACCCGCGCTGCTGATGCTCCCGCTCCTCACGAGCGGAGAACCCGCGTATCGGCCGGTCGTGCCGCCCAGACTGCCCGCAATGCCCACGGAAGCGGAGTTCGAGTTGGAATTGTTGGAGTGGGCAGAGGCGTACGGATGCCCATACGCATTATTCCCGTAGAGGTACGCATTCGCATAGCTGTTGGCCGCGCTCCCAATACCGCCGTACGCCCCGCCTCCCGAGTTGCGCCCCGCGCCGATGGCGGTGGCAGTAGCAGTGGTGGTAGCAAGACTCTGCGACCGGCTGCGCGTCAGATCCGCTGCGGCACCCGTGCGCCCTCTGTACCCCGCCGCCGAAAATGAATTCGACAAAACGGGCGACGCAACGGGCGAATGCGAGTTGTTGTTATAGCGCGCATCGTACAGCTCGTCGTCGGGGTCGACGAGCTCGTCGTCCTCGAACGTGGATGCGAAGCGCGGGGCGGAGAAGGAGGCGCTGCGCGAGGAGACGGAGGAGGGCGTGAGGCCGCCCCAGGGGCTGGTGTTTTGCTGGGTAGGGATAGCGTGCGCGGCGGAGGGGGAGAGGAAGGGGCGCGGGGAGGCGCTGCTGCCCGTGCGCGGCGGCTGCGAGGCTGCGCGTTGGGCGTGTCCGTTCCCATTCCCATTGCCTCCACCACCGCCGTTAGAGTTGTTGTTGCTGTTGCCGGTCCCGGTGCCAGATCCATTGCCCGTGCCATTGCCCGTGTTGTTGTTATTGGCGCTATTCCCGCCAGAGTCGGCGAGGAAGCGGTTCCGGCGGTCGTCCCCAGGCTCGTCTGCCATCGTGCTCGTGCTGCGGCGGTCTAGAAAAGAAAATCTAGTGTCGTGTATCGCACGGCGTAGTCTGTCGCCTGTATCTGTAGGCCGTAGGGTGTACAGAGAGTGTAGGAGAGATCTAAGGGAGTCTGCGTCTTGCTTGGTCTAGGCAGGCGGAATCTAGGCGGCAGGAAGCAAGTCAGTCATAGCCCGCGTGAGCGCATGTGACATCCTAGGGGTCAGCTGGACACAGTGTTTGACACGCTCTACCCCCGGCTGCTCGTGTGCCTTTCAGTGTCTCACCTCCGTATTGTCCTCCATCTCGTCCTGGACCAGAGGATATCGAGGCGAGGGCCCAATTTTCTCGGTTTGCATTTTTTTTTGCGCGGGTCAATACCGTGTACTCGATCCACGCCAATTCTCTGAATCCCACGTCCGACCTGGCACCAATATACCTCTCCAATCCTATTCTATGGACATGCCCGGATCCCGTTAGCGTCCTGTCTTCTCCACCGGTGGAATATATTTATATGTCAACAATACAGCAATACAGCCAATACCGTTAGCCCCGCGAGTCACGATGGTCGGACGGGTCTCTCAAGCTCCGAATTCAGACAGCCATCTTGTGGGACGGAGACCCTCGCGTATTCTTGATTGTCGCGGTTTCAGAATCCAAGGTGGAGGGGGGGGAATCGATTCGGAAGACACCGCGCAAGCCTGAGTCTTTCTGCTTTGCTTGGAGCTCTCTGGGCGACATCTGCGAAGAAACTCGGCCTGCTCAATTTCAATTTCAAACCCACCCACCACCTCCGCCGACTCGGAACTCTCCCAGCCCCTTCTTTCCCGCCCTTCCCCTTCTAATGTCTTCTTCCCCGCTTCCTTCTGGTCCCCTTCTGTCTTCAGTCCCTGAAATTCCACACGCACATATTTGTATACACCCGCATCCCCGCTCTCTCACCTCCACTAGGGTTCAGTGAATAACTCACGGGTAGTTATTCACAGATGTTCCTAACACTGGGCACACGGAGGCCTTTATTAACAGAGTTAGGAATAATTCAGTTAATAACAGTTAGGAACCGGTAAATAACTGCGTAAATAACTTTGACCTTGTAAATAATTCAGAAACAATCCACTTCAGCTTCTAAAAGTCCCAGCTTACATCCATTAGCTTCTCCTGGACTTCTAGGACAGCCTGACCGCCTTTTAGGTGCGTGTCCGACTGGGTGGCTTTGGTAAGGGCCTGGGTGATGTGTGATTCTTATGGGTGTGTGACGCGTGATTATCGAACTGAACACAAATCGATCGAAAAACTGCAGCATGGTTGTGCGTGTGCTGAAAGTGTTCAAGCTCAGAAGGGTGATTCTCTGCCAATAGTCGGAAGTTCTTCACAGTTATTTACATCGATTTGGAGGTCGTTTTGGGGTGCCAGTTAATAACCGGTTAATAACAGTTAATAACAGGGTGTAAATAACTGAGTTAATAACAGCACAGTTATTCACGGAACCCTAACCTCCACCTCTACGCTCTGCAACCTCGTCTTCGTCTTCGAGGTTCCTGGCCATGGCCGACGCCCAGATCCATCCGGCTCCTCGTCGGCGCTTCCCGCTGGTGCTGGCGCGCGCCTAAGCCTTATCTATGTTTCACCGAATTGTCAATTGACACGGATTAATCTAGGCGCTTAGGGAGGCTGAAATACCCTTAGAAAAGGCTTGGAAGCACCCGGTGTACATCTGCATCCATTGTTTCTTGCGAATTAGCACCCTTGATCTGGAAGTTGCTCGTTCGACTCGAGCCCAAGCCATGTCGCCCAGATCCATGCCTTTTTCCTTCTGATTATTCTCACAACATTATGTTGAAAAAACAGGACTCGTACAAGGTCGAGAAGGGAATGGGGAAGGCTTGGTTGCACGCGGCCCTGTGCATCTGCGTGCCGTTTTTTCTTCCACAACAACCAGTACAGCAGACGTCGCTCGTTCGACTCGGGCCCAAGCCATTCTCGTGTCTCCCAACTCTCTTTTTTCCTCTGACAAAATTATGTTGAAAGAATTCAGGGGGAAAATGGAACTCGTACAAGGTTCAGAGGGAGGCAAAAAAAAAAGGCTTGGAAGCACACGGTGTGCATCTGCGTGCGGTTTTTCTTCAACGACTGCATACAGCAGACGTTGCTCGTTCGACTCGAGCCTGAGCCATGAGAATCGGATGATTTTCTTTTTTGTTCTCGGCTCTGTAAAATTGACTAGAAAGGATAGGCTTCGTACAGCGCACAAATGAAGCAGGAAAGGCTTGGAAGCACATGATGTGCATCTGTGTGTTGTTCTTCTCCCCTGCAACGACCAGTACAGCAGACATCGCTCGTTCGACTCGGGCCCAAGCCATGGACCAGAGTTGCGTGTTTTTTTCTCCCCTCCATCCAGGTTTAAATGTTGATCGGGAAGACAGGCTTCGTAAAAGCTTCAAGGGAAGGAGAAAAGGCTTGGTTGCACTCGGTGTGCATCTGCGTGCCGTTTGTCTTCCATTATGGCGTTACGGCAGACATAGCTCGTTCGACTCGGGCCTGAGCCACTTCCGAGCTTAAATTCTTTTTTTCTCCCTTCCGTGCAAATGGTCGGAAGTACAATACTTGTGCAGGGTTCAGAGGGAATGGGGAAGGCTTGGTCGCACTCGGTGTGCATATGCGTTCATTGTCTTCTTCTTCTATTTCTGCTGCAGATCCTACTCGTTCGACTCGGGCCCAAGCCATTCCCGAATCCCATCTACGTTTTTTTTCCCTCAAAATTCTCATTCCTACAAATTTCGTTGAAGCACCAAGACATGGACAAGGGAGACCGGAACAAATGGAATGAGGAAAGGCTTGGTTGCACTCGGTGTGCCTCTGCGTGCGGTTTTCTGTCTCGACAGCATCATGCAGACATCGCTCGTTTGACTCGAGCCCAAGCCATATTCCAGCCAGCTCATGTCTTTTTGTTTGCTATCTCACAGATGGCGTTGAAAATGTAGCACTCCAACAAGGAGCCAGCGAGGAAGGGCTTGGTCGCACTCGGTGTGCATCTGCGTGCCGTTTTTTCCCTTCCATCATGGCTAGTACAGCAGAGATTGCTCGTTCGACTCGGGCCTGAGCCATGTGTCCAGGATGTTCAACTGTTTTTTGATCTCTTTTCTGTAAATTTCGTTGAAAAAATAGCACCCGTATTAGTCGCAAAAGTCTGATTTGGCTTATAAGCCCAGATAGTGAATTTCTGAACCTTATAGCCTAGGCTTAACTCAACTGGTGCGTACATTATCAATATCGGATTTAGGATGCAACCAGAGGGGGGTCCTTTTGGGTTATAAGTCCAAATATGGGCTTATAATCCTCTATAAGGGGCTATAAGGAAGTCTGTTGGCCTATAAAGTTCAGAGATTCACCATAAGCCATTATAAGCCAAATCGGACTTTTACGACTAATAATAATAATTACAAGGAGTAAATAAGGCTTTGTCGCACGTGGTGCGCATCTGCATTCCATTGAATGACCTGGAAAATTCACCGCAGAGTTTGCTCGTTCAACTCGAGCCCAAACCATACACCAGACCAGCCCTTTTTTCTCCCTTTGTCAGCGTACGGAGTCAGGGAACGGAACTAACGTACGGAAGTCCCACGGTTCAATTGGTTCATTGTCCCGTCTTACGCTCTTTTTCTACCAGATTCTATCAGGAGGCAGTCGACTCTAGCCCTAACCCTTCATCTATATCCGTCTTCAAGTTGTTACCTCCGTACGAAGTTATGTTGAACGAAGGCCTATAAAGGGGTCAAAGAGGAGTACATTTTTTTTGTGGGCAATCAGTGCCGGGATAGTGATGCAGCCCTCCGAGGTTTCATTGTTCTAGCTCACAAATTACTAAACAGAATCAAAACAAGCCGAGGAAATCAACCTCGCAAAATTCGGAGACATCCGGTTCAATTCGGAACCATCCGGGAAAGCAAGCACATCATCAGCAGCAGTGATCCGCCACAGCAGCCGCTAGATTTTCTTTTGTTCTTTGACCTTTGGCTTTGACCGTTTGACGTGATGCTGGACTCTTGTTTCTACGCTATAACACAGGCCGGCGCCCAGTGGCAGTAGAGCTGCTCCAAGACGAACACCATGGCTCGAAAGATTCTCCCCACTTCTGGAGCTTGTGCTGTATTCACGATCGACCCTGTTGCCTCGCTCAACGCAGACACCCGTGAAGATTCTGAAGCTGTCGCTGCTTGCAAAATGCTCACCAGCAAGAAATACGCAGTCGTCGCAGACGTGCGTAGTGACGTGCCCATCGATTCCTGACTCATGTTCTCCGAACAGCGCCCGCATCTTCATGAGTACTGGGAGCCCCACAACGAATGCGTTGTACATTTTATCCTGAGAGGGGTGCCACCCGGGATTCCGAATAAATGCATCGAGCCATCCATGTCCTTGCCGATTCTCCCTGTGACAAACGAGCCTCATCCGTCCTCCCGGGAGCCGCTGAAGCTGTCGACTCCATTGCCCTGGAGTGATTGCTATATCACCGGGGTTCCTTTGCCAGAGTCAGAAGCCCCACTCTTTTTACAGAAGATCCGATCGAACATGTTCTCGACGCCGACGAACTCATTAGGGCACACCGCTTCTTACGAAAAGACGTGCAGAAGAAGCAATGGGCACTTGCCGAGAAGGAATATGAGGATGCTCAACGCACCCAATCCGCGATGCCACCCGTCTCTGCTGAGGAACACGCCCTGGTTCAGGGCCTGAGGGACGAATCAAGTTCTTCCGTATCTCAATCTGGTGCGCGCATCCTAGTTGAACCATAGTGTTTGAATTTGACTCGATTCGCTGCAGGTAGTTTTCCTCCACCGGATCCAGATCACACGCCCGGTAAAGATCAAAGAAACGACGACGACCGGAGTTCATCTTCATCTGAGGTATCTGCCGCTATATCCGCCAAGCGACCGCCTCAGGGTTTGGTTATGGTCAATTTCACACACGATCTGTCGACGATGGAGGAGTTGAGCGATCCAGAGGACTTTTTCAAGGAGGTCGAAGCTATCGGGAGGTACAGACATTTCTCTGACAAGTTCTCGACGCCCTCTGAGGTACGACCTTCTAGGATCGAGGAGGAGGCCTGGCCCCGCGTTGCAAGAGCGAAAGCGCAAGCGCTGAAAGATGTGATGGAGGCGGCCGCCAGCAAGGATGCCGCAGCCTATGATGACCTCACTAGTGAGAACACACCCTTGTTCGAACTTAGCCCCTTCCGTGTCTAATTCTCCGCCAGTCGATCTATTGATTGAGCGCGAAACCTTCAAGAGCCGGGTTTACCGCTTTGCCTCGAAAGTAAAGAACAAACGCAGAAATATTGCCCAGCGCATCGTCCGTTTGGCTCGCCCCAGGCCAGACAAATGGTGAACGGAGTTCCTACGTTGCGATGATTCTTTGCCCATGCGCACAATAATTTAACATTTTATAACACAGTCCCGGTCGAATTCGAGTGGCCGGCGCAGATGACTCTCAAGTCAGCAATTAAAGTCGTAGTAGATGACACAGAAGCTTCCCGGCGCCGCATGATCACCTCAGATTCGTGAGGTGCATGAGCTTCGGCGGACATGCCTCTTCGTATATTAGTGGATTGCACGACGAGACCCTGCAACGGATCCTGACTGCTCCGCGCAACGTGCAGTACCAGCGCCGATCTGGATTCTGGTCTTCCCAAAGAAACTATTTAGTGTGCGGAGGATGGATTCTCCCAAGATTCTCCGTTAGTTGCGGTCGAGAGTCGGCTGGTGCAGGCGGTAAGTGAGTGCAAAGAGATGGAGCCGAGACATTACTCGCTCAACTCGCCAACTTGCTCGTCTGGCTCCATGTCGGGATACCTCTTCCGAATCCATTCACAAAACCGCGACTCGGCGAGGAGGGGAGAAATGCTCCAATCAGCGGGTGGAACTAAAGACGAAGAGCGAACACGCACCAGTGTGCGCCACGAACAGTAAACCCGCCTCCAACATTGCATCGTTGACGGTTGCAAAAGGCATTGGCCAGAGAATGAAGAATGTACGTCCGAGTTGGAAATGGCGCCAGACACCGTTTGGATGGGCCGCCCACAAAACTACGTGAAAGGATGAGCCAACACGCACCTTCCACTAGCGTAGATAAAGCTCTGCGCGGCATGATCAATCGCAGAGAGAATAAGAGAGGCGTTGGAGTGGGGACATCGACCTGCACAAACATTGGTTAAGGTGGAAAGTACTCGGGCGGATATTGGTGGAAAACGGCGTTGAAAAGAGAAGAGACAACATTTAAGCAGAGGACGAAAAATAGAGTGTATTCACTGGACAAAAAAACTATAATGACGCGCATTTAAATTGACGCTCGCAAAGCCTCCTTCCACTTCCATCCTCCGTGGTATTGTAAGAGCAAAACGGCGGTTGGAGTGCGAAGCGATTGATTGGTGCGTGCGAATGCGAGTGCGCTTGAAAGACGGGGAGAGTAAAGGCTGCGATCATTTGAATCCACCCGCCAACCATCCGCTGTTTACAATAAAACCGTATGTGCTGTGCGGCGACGGAAGTGCCTTCATGCTTCCCCAGGGATTGAGGACTGGGCCAAGTGCGGGATGCAACGTTGCACCAGCGGCACGGAGGAGTGCTGCATCTTTTTCTGCATCTTCACGGCCGAACGCCTAAGGCATATGTTAATAAGAGCGTGAGTTTATCCCATAGGCATACAGTGATCAGACTCGGTATTCTGCGCTCAACGAGAAGTTTGAAGGTAGCCGGCCAAGTATAGCCCAAGCTAGCAGAGTGGTTGGCCCCGGAGTTGAAGCCGATACAGAGATCGGGACGTTCGAAATCGCTGCCTTGTTCTCGCACAAAGTCGTGATATGCCCTGTAAAGACACTGGATAAGCCGGTCCAAGACATGGTAGCAAGGACCAACTCTGGGACAAATTCAAGCACATAGGAACAACCGCGCTTAACTTTGCAATTCCTGGAAACTTATCAG